CTCTCAAATGAATAAATAAAATCTTTAAAAAAAAAAAAAAAAAGAAAAGAAAGAAAGAATAACCAAAGCCAGGGCACTTCTAATAACGTCAAGGCTCTCAAATATCCTGGAAGTCATTAGCCTCTTTCCAGGTAAATCCTATTCCTCATTCCAGTTTCCAATCTTGCCAAAGCAGCTCAAATAAAATACAATCTAAAACCTAACATGGCTTCATTTCTTTCAAAGACATGTTGCATTTTACTTTACTTGTGGATGGAGGGAAAAATGAAAGACAACTCTTAAATACAGAAGCGCGACAGCAGTCACTTGGGGGTCACACTAAGTGCCACATCGGCAGAGACAGAGGTGTTGGTGTGAACGTTAGCCCTGAAGAAACTCACTGAAACCTCAAATTGCTTCCAGAGTGCTGGCCCCGACTCGGACTACCCCCAACAGCCTCTTCAAGGGAGGAAAGACAATAAAGTGTCATTATTATCCAGCGAAGGAATCGGAAACAAAAAACTTAGGGACTCAGGGAAGAACAAGGAATGGGCACATGAAAAGCTCCCGCGAGGGAGAATGGATCCAGGACAAAAGGAGGAGAGCTGTGTTGGGCACTGGCCCTCCTGGGCACAAACTCCACACTAAGGACAAACACCTAGGAGCTGGGGTGCTGTCCCCTGCACAATGCCAGAAAAACCAAGCAGCTTTGACAGCCGGGGATGGGAAACCTCATGTGGTCCGTCGCCACAATCGGCCAGCCACCAAATCCACAGGCCCTACCCTTCCAGAGTTTCACGAAGGGGGCCTCGCACTTACATTTTTCATAAAAATCACCAGTGATGTTGATATCCTTGGTCCAAAGACCAGTCTGTCAGGAACATTGCTCCAGAGCAATGTTTATTAAAAATAAAAATTTTGATCAATGTGTCTTGTCAACTGACTTTCAAACCAGCTCTTAAGATTATGATAAACAGGACACCTGGGTGGCTCAGTGGGTTAAGCCTCTGCCTTTGACTCAGGTCATGATCCCAGGGTCCTGGGATAGAGCCCACATCAGGCTCTCTGCTCAGCGGGGAGTCAGCTTCCTCCTCTCTCTCTGCCTGCCTCTCTGCCTACTTGTGATCTCTCTCTCTGTCAAATAAATAAATAAAATCTTAAAAAAAAATTATGATAAACAGCAAATCAATTACACATGATTTTCTTGAAAAAGTAAACTGGCCTTGTAAGCACTTTCCATGTATTAGCTGCTATTCTTAACATCATTCTCTGACTTTACTAGGCAAATTAGAAGCTCTAGTATGATGTTCAACCTAAAATTCAGTTTTGAATGTAATACCTTTCCATACTCCTCACTAAATAAACTGTTTTAGTTTATGTAGAACTCTCCAGAGACAGAGAGCTGGTCTTATTTAAATTTCTATCACCAGCCTAATGCATAGTTCCTAGAACCCAACACAAAGTAAGTGCTCAAAAGGTGTGTGAAACTGAACCAAACTGCAAAGACTGCAGGTTCTACCAATGATACTAGTAATGATAAATGGGGAATGTGAGACCTTCCTTTTAGAGACGGCTTTACAAAGACTGGGAGGGGTTTTAAGCAAATACAAAAAAAAAAAAAAAAGAAAAGAAAGAAAGAAAGAGAAAACCCAGGATGGAAAGCTTAGTAATTATAGAGTAATTATTCCTCTGCGGTTAAAAAAAATAGCTATCATTAAACGTTAACTATAGTGCATTACATATATGAAAAAGCCCTGGGTTTTCTTAATGCATCACTACAACCATGGCTTTGATAAACTCAGGGATTTTCAACACAGACGTTAGGAACAAAAAAGGCATATACCTCACGTACAGAGGAAGAGAGGGAGAGAAGGAAAAGCCCCCATGAAACCATGCTATTACCTTAGGTCTACATTTGGGATACTCATGGTCACCTGGGAGCACCTTGAAAGAAATCGGTACCCGATCAGCCCTCCGATTGGCACAGAAAGCATCCCAGACAGCTCGATGGACAGCATTATAAACTACATCCAGGCCCGTAAGGGTAACAAAAGCCATTGGCCGGCAACATAATTCCACAGGGAAGTCCCACTGTGTGGGGCTCATGTTCAAGGTGTCAGGAAAAAATCTGAAATAGAAATGTAAATACATTCAAAATGTTTTAAAAGCCCATATACATATCTAATCTACCTGCCTCCACTATTTATAAAACATTACAAAAAGGCAACAGACGGAGTCTTTTCGAGTGTCCGCAGAGAGGTGATTAAAATAGGTCTCATGACCCATTTTTGATATAAAGAAAAATAACCGTTGACTTACATATAATAAATGCAACTATCTAATTTCTCTATAATGGCTAACATCTAATTTCTGAATTCCCAGAAAATTATTTTAAAAATGTGCTAGTTATCTAAATAGCTATGTATTCTCATCTCTCCATAATTAATGTGAAATGTATTATTTAAATGAAAATCTAGAAGAGAAAAACTAACAATGAATGAAAACGTCTAGGACGGACATGTTTCCACTGTGTTCTTCAGCTGAGAATCAGTCCATAATAAATCCTACCACACACTAACTATAGAAAAGCAATTATATAAAAATGTGTTTATTCCAAAGAAAATTGCCATTATATTTTAAAGACCATTTCTCATTCCTAAAATCATGTATCAAGAGTCCCTTTTCGGGGCACCTGGGTGGCTCAGACGTTAAGCATCTGCCTTCAGCTCAGGTCATGATCCTGGAGTCCTGGGATCTAGCCCTGTGTCCAGGTCCCTACTCAGCAGAAAGCCTGCTTCTCCCTCTCCCACTCCCGCTGCTTGTGTTCCCTCTCTTGCTGTCTCTCTCTGTGTGTCAAACAAATAAATAAAATCTTAAAATTTAAAAAAAAAAAAAGTTCCTTTTCAAAGGTGATCTTCACCAGTATATCACACAGAACTCAAATGCAATTTTTGCGAAAGTGAAAAGCACTGTGCCACCACTCAATAACCAAATATTTTTAACTGAAAAGTTAATTTTAAAAAGATCATTAGGCGTCTTACATTTAAGTACTGAAGGAATAATGGGTATTGAATAAATGATTTGGAAAGTTCACCACAAATGATACATTTCTACAAGACACAGAAGGTTTAAAATTATTTAAGCAGATATTTTCCAGACAGGATTAAGCTATGAGGGCAAAGGCTCACAAGTTCAGAGAAAGAAAAACTCTAGTTCTAGGGAATTTGGGGGTGAACATTAAGAAGAGATGGTCAAAACACATTAAACAGGGGCCTTTGCTTTACACCAGGGAATCTAGATTAGAGCCCTAAAGTCCATTTCTTCATTTAAAACCACCAGAGGCTCAAGAGAATTAGCTGTGGTCTTTGAAAATGGGAGTGGAAATAAGGGAACCTACAAACGACTTACGAAGCTCTAAATCAGTGCTATCCAAAAGAAGTATTACTGTGAGCCACATAAACAATTTTAAATTTTCTAGTCATATTAAAATATTTTTTTAAAATGGCATTAATTTTAATAATATTCTATTTAACCAATATGCCTAAAATATTAACACTTCCACATTAATGTAAGGTTATTAATGAGATACTTCACTTTTCTGTACCAAGTCTTCATTATCTGATGTGTACTGTACACTCCCGGCACATGTCAATTCAGGCTAGCCAATTTCACATGCTCAATAGCCACATAGGGCTACTGGCTATCATAATGGACAGCCCATCTTAAATTACGGTAATTCTGACCCCAAAAATTACTGTACGGAAACTGTATCAGAAATTCTTGCCACATACTATTTAAAAACTTTTGGCACTTGAGACGGTACTGCTTATTCCACAGCAAAGGGATGGGATTGGGAAAAACACTGGCAAAGGACAGATGCTGAGGTTGTGTGGCTCTTAAGGACAGTCTGTAGACATTCCCAGCTCTCCTAGAAGAAGCCAATGAGGCAACTAACAAAGTATGACACGGAAGGAGGTGCAAAAGTCGTGAATGAACATACTGGATGGGAGACCGTGTCACGCAAGAGCAAGGAATCTGGAAGCTGGCGTGGAAAATAGGAAGTTTCTTGAAAAGGATGACATACAGCAAAGAAAGGCGACCTAATCAAGTGGCAGGTTAAAAAAAATAAAAAGCAATGTGGTCACTATTTTTTAATTAACGGAGGTTCAGGGTGTAGTACACAAGGCCAGCAAGGACTACAAGACGACTCGGAGAGGAATGACAATTTGGGGCCGGGCTGGAGCGGGGGTGGGGGGGCAGGGAGATGTTGAGAACGTGAAGCAACCACCTTAGAAAGATACCATCCCCGGGGTCTCAGCATTCCGCCCTGGGAATCCAATGAGGGAAGGGAGAAATAACGCCGCAGCCCTCCAGGCAGAGGCTCTCTTCCCCGTCTCCTCCCCTTTAAACCCGAAGGTCCTAGATACAGGTGCGTCTTTTCTTTAGGGGCTGGAAGAGAAATGCCAGGACTGCCTCCGCAGACGCCAAAGGAAAACGCAGGGCCGCCCCAAACCGGCATTGTCTCGGCGAGCTCGCCTGCCCTCGCGGGTCTCCGGGGCCGGACTCACCCAGGCCGCACGCCCCGGGCCCGCTGCAGCTGTGGCCGGTCGCCGCAAGCCGGGGGAAGACGAAGGGAAGCAGGCAGGTGGCCTGCAGAACGCCAGGGCCCGTCCCCACCGCCACCGCCCCGGAGCCGGTGCCCGCCCGCGAGACTTCCCGGTACCCGCCCGCGCCGGCACAGGAAGCACTTTCTGCATCTGAGTGACAGCGCTCTACACCAACCGCTGTCCCGAAACTTAGCGCCGCTCCACAAAACGTAGGAAGACGCCCGTCTCCTACGGGGGTAGGAAATAGGGGTGGGGAGAGAAGGAGCCAATAGGAGGAGCAGGAAGGAGAAGGAGGCGGAGCCTCTGCGGCACCGCCCCGCAGCGTCTCCCCCGCGGCCCGGCGCCCCACCCTCCGCGGCCTCGGGCTCCCCGCCCACACACCCCCCCGCGGGTGGCTTCGAGCTGCGGGAAGGCCGGGGGAGCGCGTGACTCTCGTCTGCGGTGCCAGGGGTGTGCCTCCCGCAGCCCAGGCTTGGAAGGGGGACGCCCCGGCGCGGGGCCACTGCTCTCGCTTTCTCGTGGTCGCAGACGCCCTCCCGGGGGGCGTCCCGCGGCCGGCGCGATGAGTGCCAACGAGGACCAGGAGGTGAGTCTCCCTGGCTGGACGCCCCTTTCCCCGTGCCGGCGCGGCGCCTCGGCTCCAAGGGAGGCGGCTGAGTCCCCGAGGGCGGGCTGGGACCGGGGGCCGGGACGAGCGGCCCCCCACGTGCCTTCGCCCCTCGAGCGGACAGAGCCTGGCTGGGGTGCCCCAAGTTTCCGGGTGCCCTGCGAGGAGAGGCCAGGCACGCGGCAACGGGAAGGGTCCGCCTCTGCCTCCGCTTCTCCCTGGAGTTTTCAGTTTTGCAAGCCCGGGGGGTGGCCCCACGCCACCTTAATAACAAGGATGAGTGTCCTTGGAAGGCGACCCAGTGCTCTTGCCTCGCCTTCAATCCCCAGTGTTCCTGTTCAGCGCTCCTGTACGGAGTTCAGCCTCTTGCAATCTGATCACCTTAAAATTTTTAAAATCTCCTGGCTGGTAGGGAGAGACTGAGCTGAGTTAGTTAAATTTCCAGTGGAGGAAAATCATGACACTAAGTGTCACCGATTTCTGGCCTTTTTGTTTGGTGGAATCAGTTATCCACCTGGTAGTTGTCCGGTGGAAATGAAGGCTGTTTTGAGCGAACATGTACTGCCTGACTCCTATAGTTTATGCTCAGCGATTTTCTCGTGAAATGCCACTTTGACATTGAATCATGTGATCGGGGTCATCTCTAGGGGAGCCACCTAATGGTGTAATGCGTCCAGATGAGGGGAAGAGTTTTGCAAAGGTAAAGTGGATGCGCTGGGGCTGCCCAGTGAGCATGGGGTAGAATCAGAACTAGAATGCGAGTCTCCTAGCCAAGTAATTCACTCCTCATTTAGAATATGTTTGTTCAAAGTTAGCACTTTTATAAGATAGATGTGATAGAATCCCTGGAATGGAACTTACCATTGGAAGGACCCAAAGGGCAACAAGCTGGTTGATACCTGAAATCGCTTCTAAACTGTTCTTGCCAGGTGACTTTCTAAGTCGAGGCGTGTGGGGTGTATCATGTCATGTTTCTCAAAGTTTGGCCCATGGAACACTGCCTTAGACTCATCCCGGTGGTTGTTAGAAAAACAAGTGCCTGTACTGTACCTCAGATTTACTGGATTGAAGTTCCTGGGGGGCCCAGGGATTTTAACAACAGAATTCCATTCTTCCACACGATTGATTTTCAGAGCTTTGAAATCTGTTTCCTGCCCCGTTTTTTCCGATGCCCTCTGCTCATACGAAATGATTCCTTTTTGCTTTTTCTCCAAATGTCCGTTCTTTTTGTTCCTTGTCTTGGAATTGTGTATTTGTGGACAGATTATAAATTTATTTATGTCCTGTTTTTAAATTGTAGCATCCCCGTTTTCTAGTTAGTTTCTGTCAATTACAGCCCTTTAAGTGCTCTGTGCAAAACAATTTGTCTTTCGTCCTCTACTGTGTTTAGGTATCTAAAGACACGTTCTTCCACTTACCCTATAAAATTTCATCTTGTTAGATGGTTTTTCTAGGACACTTTGAATTCTTATTCAGCCACCAGCATGATTCACTATTCCATCAAATTGTCGTTCATCAGTTTCATAAGCCTGCCTTCAATTTTTGTTCTGTCCTACTCATTAGTTAAAATACAAGAAAGGATTAAGGGTAGGAGGAGTAGCCCAATATTCTGAGTAAGTTGACTCTTTCTAATCTCATCTTGGTTCTTGAATCCAGTTGAACTCCGTATTTTTTTCACGTGAAGGTAACAAGAGAAACCCAGGTAGACCTGGGTTCTGTGCCTTTCCTCAGTGTACCAATCAAGTTATCCTCTCTAACATTTTTGTTTACATTTATCTTGTTTTTCATATGCTTGCCAAGGCTTAGGGACTGCTACTCTTTATTCTTCTCGGCCCCCACAAATCATTTCTTTAATAATCTATTCTAAAATTTTGTCGCCCTTTTAGTTTGTAGCATTCACGATGTGCATCTTTTTAAAAACTAAAGGATGTATCAAAGTACTGTCTTTCTTTGCTTCTCTTCTTCGGGTGCTCTTCGGTAATCACAACAGCCTTTGAGTCTTCTCATTTGTCAGTCCACAGTGTTCTAAGAAATATTTCCAGGCAAGGATTATTAATTACATTTTCTCTTGAAGTCCTTTTTATCCCATCTTGGGTAGATTCTCGTCAAACCTCTTTCTAACCATCATTTTAAGTTCTTTTTGTGATCTGCAGGTGTTTTTTTCAAGTTTCATATCATTCTGTGGGAAGGATTTCAAACATAAATAATACATGTAAATAGTGGGGAAATACTGTGTTTTGTATTTCCCATTTCCAAGTGTAACTCTCTTTCTACCCTAGCCTAGGACACATGATCTAAATTTACTTTAAACTGACTTATTTTCCTCCCGGGTAGAAAGGAGAAGATAAGATATTCTTCACAGGATTGAAGTGAGAATGAGTGAGACAGTGCACTGTAAAATGCTCAGGGGTGCCTGGCACATAACTTTGAAGGAAGTTCAGTATTCACATTGTGTTACTATTTGCACATATATTATATACATTTATTATAAACATCAAAGGCCATAAAAGTAACTAAATTTTACATATTTGAGTGGGCTTGAATCAGAAACTAAACACCCTCTATGTCTAATCCATTTATACCTCTAAACAAAACTCATTTGATACATTTATTTTTTTCCAGATGGAACTGGAAGCTCTGCGTTCCATTTATGAAGGAGACGAAAGTTTCCGGGAGTTAAGTCCAGTTTCCTTTCAATATCGGGTAAGACATGACATGACTAGGAGCCCTTGCTACTTTGCTAGAAAAGATTGAAGGTTGCTGAAAGTGCTTTTATTTTTTTAAATTTAACGGTTTAAATCAATTACCTCTTTGGATTTTCTGAAGCATTTGAATGAAAGCTCATCACCGTGACAATTATTTTTAACTTTGGGGAACAATTCAGAAACTTTTTAAAAACTAAGAGAAACTTGTTTTTATTGTGACAGAATGATCAAGTATTAGAAATGGAAGAAACCTTAGAAATTACATGGTCTTGCCTTCTAACCTTAAAGATCGTGTCTCTCAGTCACAACTTCCCAAGCTTTCCCAGCTGATGCTGACAAATACTAGAATTAAAATCCTGGTTTCTATTCCAAGTCTAGTATTATTTTCCCCACCCTATGATATAGTCAAGAAAAGTTGATAGTTTCCTAATTCTGTATTAACAATATGTGTGAATATTACATATTCTTTAAAAGGGAGTTTGCCCATAACTATTCTCAACATGAAACATCACCAGTATCTTGTTTTGTAAGTAAATAACAGAAACCAGCTCTCCAGATGGTTATAAGCAGCAGTGGTGTGAGAAAGCTTTTTGGTCTAAGACTTAGTTATTCACATCATCATTTCAAATAAATTATGTGATAAGGGATTCTTATATGTCATTATTACAGACTGTTACAGAAGATAAATTATTGTTCACTACTTTCTTTAGAGACTCTCCCGTCTGCTTGGCTCCTTTCAAGCTCAACAGTCCTTACACCACTCGATGGATAAAACAACAAAAAAACTTAATGGCCAGGGTTACCACTGGGGTCAAGTGCTAGGCCCTTCCATATGAATCCAGCTGCCTCCCCAGAGGTCCCCAAGCACTGCCACTTTCCCCTTAGCAAATGGGAGGTTGAGAACTGCCCCATACTTCCCTAAACATCTGTATTAATAAGTGTGGTCACTTGTTGACACAGTATACGGAACGCAGTAGGACATGTGTGTGTCCTACAGGATGGATTCTCCGCTGTGACCGCAGGATGGATCTCAAGGGAATAAAACATGAAGTTTGGAAACCTTGTATATGTTGAGAGCCAGAGGACAAGGGTACAGGTCTGGCTGGGTCCTGGTCAGGCCCTCTCAGTTCCTGTTTAGGGACTGGTTCGGTAACCTCCTAGACCATTCTCGGTGACTAGGTAACTCTAGTTAACCCATTCCTTCGTTGTGAAGGGTTTCCGCATGGGTTTCTCCTACCTATAGAATAGGAATTAAATTCCTCAGCTTGACATTCAGGGCCCCTCTGCTTGGTTCACACTGCCTCTCCAGACTTTCCCCACCACTACTGTCTGTTAGACCCAGTAGCCTGTGGACCATTTCCCTGCATTTTTTAATATTGTGCCCGTGGGCACATCTTTTGCTCTTCCCCTCACCTCACGTCCCTCATCCAACCTACTTCTTCTTTAATGCCTAACTCAGGCTCCTCTGTGACGTATTTGGGCCTCCTCTTCTAGCTCTCCCTTGACTTCAAAGCAGAATTGGCCACTCCCCATTTCTTCGTACTTTGTTCTGTGTCTTTTTTAAACTTTTATTCATGCTGCAGTTTCGTGAGTTACCTAAATCTCTGCTCCCCTTGAAGACAGGAATGGTCTTATTTCTATTTTTGTATTTTCTGTACCTTGCACTGTACGGGGCACAGGACCCCCCGCTTCTACACACACCTTGAGTAAGGACTTAGTAGACTGCATAGAGCAAGTAACTTGTCACTTTTTCATTATGTCTGTATTTGAAACACAAGCATAAACCGATGAGGTCATCAACTTACATAGATATAGATCAACAGGTCCCTAAGATTATTTGACATAATTTCTAAGCCTCACCTTATATTGGTGTGTCTTGTTGATGCTGAGGGGAAGGGAATAAAAATTAGCGGTCAGAGAGTAAAGGGCAAGTAACAGTTTGGGGTGAAAAATTTTTTAATCTGTTACTATTGTCTAAAAATAAATAGAAAAAGCAGCACATATACTAAAAATATTACAGAGGAGATTGGCATAGCCCTTTGCAAGGATGAGATGCTGACTCATGAATCATTCCATAATTTTATTAGAAAAATCACCATTTTGCAACCACCAACATGATGATCATTTCAGGCAAGGCTCATTAATGGATGTTAAAACCTTCGAAAAGTTGTGGGGAAAGCAAAAGAAATAGAAAAGACATCTTTAAGTTATTCAGGTGAAGGGAGTCAAAAGTTACAAACTTCTAGCTATAAAATAAAATGAGGGACTCATGGTGACTGTAGTTAGTAACATCGTATCGCATATTTGAAGGTTGCACAGAGAGTAGATCTTGAAAGTTCTCACCTAGCCTAAGGCACTCCTGAACCTTATCTCTTTACCTTTCCCTTTTTTTCTCTAAATTTTACATTTCCTTTTCTGGTCTTGGGATTGTGCTAAAGTATATCAATCCCTCGTTCTTAAGGCCTCGTCTGATTTGGCAATTGGAAAACGTAGGGCGAAGATTAGGCCTTTCAAGTTTGTGGATTGTTATTTTTGTCCATTCTCTTCCTTTACCCCACAGTTGATATGTTATCTTTGTCCTCAGAAAGCTTTGATGGAAACAAAAATTTATATTAGACAGTCTTGATACTGGAAAAAGCCAGAGGGCTGGTTGGAGAGAAAGGTTGTGGACATCAAGTCACATTATGACTATGCCCCTCAACCCCTGGCAGGCCTCAGCCCGTACCCCTGAACTTTCCAGAATACAATGTTTCTGATCTGATTATAAGCATCGGCAGTAATTCATCATTTTCAAAGTCATAATTAAATAAATATTCTGTCTTTGTGTCACTTTCTACAAGCCTAAGATTTCCCTTTTCTTCAGATAGGTGAAAATGGTGATCCCAAAGCCTTCTTAATAGAGATTTCCTGGACAGAAACATATCCCCAAACACCTCCAATTATATCTATGAACGCTTTTTTTAACAACACCATGTGAGTAGTGTTCCGTTTTCATTGTTTTTTGTAACACTGTCGCTCACTTTTCTCTCAGCCATGTATTTCTTGTGCATTATAGATCGTCAGCTGTAAAGCAGAGCATATTAGCCAAGTTACAGGAAGCCGTGGAGGTCAATCTTGGGACCGCCATGACCTACACGTTGTTTGAATATGCCAAGGACAATAAAGACCAGTTCATGGAGAATCACCAGCCTGTGAATTCTACGGTGAGCTCATGCTTCGTTTTGTTCACTCTCCTACTAATTCGTCCTTACTAGTTAGTAGTTTTTTTTTTTTTAATTGAAAGATTTCGTGTTAGACTGAAAATGAGTTAGGGGCACCTGGGTGGCTCAGTCGGGGTTAAGTGTCTGCTTTCGGTTTAGGTCATGATCCCAGAGTCCTGGGATCGAACCCTGCTTCGGCTGTCTGCTCAGCAGGGAGCCTGCTTCCCGCTTTCCCTCTGCCTCTCCCCAGCTCATGCTTTCTCTCACTCTCTCAAATAAATAAATAAAATCTTTAAAAATAAAGAAATAAATAAAACAAGTTACATCTGAGTTAAGTAAGAATAGTGAATTTAAGGTTTCTCAGTGCCTATTTAACTTTAAAAATGAAATCATATCCTATAGATCTTACCCTTCCTGTGAGACTAGAATACTTCCTGTGCCCACCACAACTGAGGTGCTGTTGAACCAAATATTTGTTTAAATATATTAACCATATTTGACGTCTCCATAAAGCTCAGATGGAGGATTTCTTACGTGGTGCCCAAATACGTTGGAAATTGCTTTCTTCAGGAGCCTTCTTTAGCTGGGAATAGTCTTGTCCCAGTTCACTCTGAACGTGCAAGCTTCAAGAGACTTCATTCTAGAAGGATTTTAGGAAATCATCACCTTTTATGCCACAGGCATCTCTTTTTAGAACCCTTTGCACCCAGTCCTGTGCCGAGAGACTTTCCAAGGCCAGAGTCCGTTGAGTTCTGTGAAGCAGGCCGGCGGCTTCCTGACAGCGAAGGCTCTGGGTCTTCTACCTGAGCAGCTCTGGCTGCCGCATTCCTGACGCCACAGAAGTGTCCTGAGGGCAGCTCTTGGGCGGGAGAAAGAGCCGGGGAACTGCAGGCCTCACCAGGCGGCCCTGAAAACCCTCACTGCTCCTCGCTGCACCACTGACCGTGAGACTTTGTTTTGGTCAGGGCAGGGGCCGCTGTCTTACCCTCACCGTGCTCAGTTTCTTCTTCTGTCCAGCGGGGATATGGTAGCTTCTGCCTCGTAAGAGTCTAGTAAGGGTCAGACAAGGGTGTACAACATTTATAGCAATGCTTGGCACCTAGTAAGAATTTCAAATTTTGCCTATCACACTCTGATTACGTGAATCCAAATTAAAATATTTTTCTTTTTCTTTTTTTTTAAAGATTTTATTTATTTATTGGGTGGGGAGGAGCAGAGGGAAGGGGAGAGATAATCTCAAGCAGACTCTGCTGTAAGCATGGAGCCCGACGCAGGGCTCGATCTCACAGCCCTGAGATTGTGACCTGAGCCAAAATCAGTGGTCACACACTGAACCAACTGAGCCACCCAGGCGCCCCCAAAATATTTTTCTTCATTCATGAAGATTTTCTTCATTTCTTCAGAGAATCAGGGTTTTCTAGGTAGGCACATGTGATTTTTCTAAAGACATACTTAAATTTCCAAATAAAGCAAATGAACTGAATTATAAAATTACCTTAGAACTTCAGAGCCTCAACATAATGCTGGTATCGGGTCTTATTTCTCAGAGGCTTGGTTATAACAATGGAACTAACATCATGTAAGTCCCTCTATGGGAACGTTTAGAAGAATGAAAGCAATGTACGAATGGCACCTGATCTAATAAATGGATATTATAATGCAGGATTATTTTACTTTACAGATCTAATTCAGTAAGTTTTAAGGCATTAGTACAGGAATTATTTGCTTTTTTCTAGATACCCATAAGCAGTATCATCTCCGTTGAAACTCCTAATACAGCCCCATCAAGTAAGAAAAAAGAGAAAAAAGAACAGCTTTCAAAAGCCCAGAAACGTAAGCTGGCAGATAAAACAGGTTTGTGTTTATTTTTTTTTAATAACAGAAATGTGTTGCTTTTTAGTGTGATGTGAGTGCTTAATAAGTATATTTCGATTTCGAGGAGTAGTTCTCTGTTCTTCATTCTTGGAACACTTGGATCAGACACTGTCTTAGGTCACAGATGTATATGGAAAATATTTACCACTACTTCACTGCAAGAGCTCACCATTTGAGGAGAAGGTAAGTGAGTGGCAGTAAAACTATAAATGAGTCTAAAACTATAAATGAGTCTCGAGGGTGAGAAACAGAATAGCATACAAAAGTGTGTCCTACCTTCTATTGTTTCTGTCATGTCTGGGACTTTCCTGTTTGGTTACCTCTCTGGCAGATAAGTGCATTACTAAAAATTCTTTGAACTATAGCTTTCATTTGAAATGAAGTCTGCTATACCATTAGGTCTTAGCACAATAAATAATATACTGTTTTTGTCTGTTGATTTATTTAAATAATTTGCATAAGATTTAAGAATAGAATTTCTGTGTTCTAAACCAGAGTCATTTTGTGGACCTTTAGAAGAGAATTATAAATTCCACCTCATATCACCAATAATATTTGATCTCTTTGTTTTTGCAAATTGGTATCGATCTGTCAACTTTTTTTTCCAATTGAGGAAATGTATATATTTATATACTTATACACAAGTGTGTCCATGTATACTGTTGTCTGTACCTCTGTGTGTGTGTGTGTGTGTGTGTGTATTCTTGGTATAAGGTTACAAGTTGTCCTTTATTGAAAAGAACTGACTCTTACTTTGGTGAGGAAGTTTAAAATAATGCCCTTTTATAAAGTGATGGCAGGTTTTTTGTTTTTGTTTTGTTTAACGTCCTGTGTGGCAGAACAAAAAGATAGCAACCTTTGTTGGCCCTCAGAACACATTTTTGAAGTCATAATGGTTTGTGAAATAACAAATCTGGGGCTCTGTTATACCTAACATTAAAGCATGAACAACCAAAGCACTGAATTGTTAGTCATTGCAATCTCTTTTCTAGGATGTTGGTTAATTTCTTTGTTAATGCTGTAGCATTTCTGTCCATTAGTTCATTACCTGTCGCTTTCATACATAGTGACCTGATTATTCCCTTTCATTACTGTTTCCGCACCTCCATCTCTTTTGATGATGCCCACCTGAAAGGCATTATCTTTCTGTAGTTATGGTACAGGAGTTAGTGACTTGGAACTTGCATTTTAAATAAAACTTAGCATGGGTAAGTTTTCATTAATAAAATTGGTGATCTGCCCCCATACCCCTTACAACCAATAAATAGTCAGATAAGATTCTTACAAGCATAAAGGACAAGAGAGCCATTAGCATCTAAGATTGAGGTCCAGTAATACTGCTTCTGTCCTATAAGAAATCAGGAGGTTAGTTTCTGTTTCCCTTGTGTAAAATTAATCTATTTGTTTTGAATGCAAATTTTGATGATTTCATAAAATGAGATGTATATAGCCATATCAAGCATAAAGGAAGTCACGTCTTTTTAAACTAAAACACTTAATATTTATTAAACTATTCTTTAAGTTTGAATATTCTATTACAAGAACAAAATCACTTTGTAAACTATGAATTTTTTATGTAAAGTTTCAGCTTCTTTTCAAGCACTCCCAGCAGATTAAAGACCTATCAGATTAAACAATGTTCGGTTAAATAATGAACTTTTTATCAGACTACAAAAGTTAATAAATAAGTTGACTAGGCCTCCTCTTCGTCTGGAAGGCAGACATTGGTTTATAAGGGCTCTTGTATTGAGCCTAGCTTCGGAGTTTAAAAACCCTCACAAAGCAGTAAAGTAACACAACTCACTTAAATCAGCCGTGACTTTATAAAAAGGGTAGCATTGTACAAGTGCATGAAACTAGTAAGTTGATTAGCTCCTCTTCCTGGCATTTCCAACTCACCTCTTTTTATCTTAATATCACAGTTTTGTCTTGAACGGAAATGGGATAAATGTGAGAAGGGAGTATGTCTAAATTACTTTGCAGATATGCTGAGAATGGTGCTTTCAGTTCACAATGATGATAAACTAGTTTTCCAGCTTAATAATACGTGATTTAAAATTTTAGTCTATTTGTTGTGTAGAGTGATGTATAAAAGCTTATCTGTTAGAGTATTCATTGCTTTAAAAATTACTGCCTGGTCCTAGAAATAAAGTTACTATTTTTGTCCTGTAGATCACAAAGGAGAACTTCCTCGAGGATGGAACTGGGTTGATGTGGTGAAGGTATATAATACTTACATTCTGGGCTTTGAAACATTGTTATTGGTCTACCATCAAATAATGAAATTTGTTATCTTCCATTTTTTTCTCCCCACCCCCCCGCAACCTTTGAATTTTACTGGAATGGCTGTTTCCTTTTTTGCTTTAGCATGTAAGTATTTTTGAAGTATCTTTCATGTTCTTTTCTTTCCTACACCTTCAGTTTTAGATTTTCTTTTTTTCTTTTTATTTATTTTTTAAAAGATTTTATTTATTTATTTGACAGAGATCACAAGTAGGCAGAGAGGCAGGCAGAGAGAGCGAGAGGGGGAAGCAGTCTCCCTGCTGAGCAGAGAGCCTGATGCGGGGCTCGATCCCAGAACTCTGGGATCATGACCTGAGCCAAAGGCAGACCCTTAACCCACTGAGCCACCCAGGTGCCCCTAGATTTTCTTTTTCTGAATAATGGAAAAATCTGTAGAACTAAGCTATAAGTACCATAAAGTCTGACTGTTTATGTAAGTACATGTGAAGAACAAACACACCTAACTCTGACTGTGGATTGGCAGTAGTGTGGAAACAAAAAACAAGCCATCGAAAGAAATGCTTTGATTTCTTAGTAGAAGTTCGTATTTTTTTTTAAAGATTTTATTTATTTATTTGACAGACCGAGATCACAAGTAGGCAGAGAGGCAGGCAGAGAGAGAGGAGGAAGCAGGCTCCCTGCTGAGCAGAGAGCCTGATGTGGGGCTCGATCCCAGGACCCTGAGATCATGACCTGAGCTGAAGGCAGAGGCCTTAACCCATTGAGCCACCCAGGTGCCCCCGTATTTTTTTTTTTACGGGCAAACCCTAGATGGAGCTTCCCATCATCGTCGAGAAGGATTTTCTGTTTTTCCTATTTAGAATTGTTTCTGTTTCGCGTTGAAGTTTTTTTTGCCGACTTCTCTTAGTATTTTTCTTTTCCAGTATATTAAAGTGATGTTCAGTTAATCCTCTTTGTAGGACTTCATGAGATGAGTTTTGCATGCCAACTAGTGCCACTACTGCTGTGAGAAGATGTGATCCAAGGGTAGTTAAAGATTAGGATTTTAGTGGGGACCTAGAAATACGGGTAATTATAAGCAGTATATTCTCAGAGTTCATTTGAAAGTCAGCTGTTAGGGTCATGGGGTACCTTTGCTCTAGAAACTGCTTAAAATAATCTTTGTGTCTAGTACAAAAATATTACCTGGGAATAGGGTGGGGTGAGCTGCCGTCGGAATAAAGAAGCAGTATTTCTGGTCCTCCTCCTGGGAAAGGGGCTGAGCGCACATGAGATGTCTGTGTGGGTGCGGCTTCTCCCTCCGTCTCTCATTTACTTTACCCAGGCCCCGCCTCCACGGATGCCTGATGGACACTTCATGTTGTCCCAGCTGTGCTTGTATTTACCTCACCAGCCAAGTCGTTTCACTCCTTAAAATGCTTCAGGCTTCAGGGACGCCTGCATGGCTTAGTCCTTAAGCATCTGCCTTCTGCTTGGGCTGTGATCCCATGGTCCTGGGATCGAGCCCTGCATCAGGCTCCCCGCTCAGCGGGAAGACCTCTTCTCCCTCTCCCACTCACCCTGCTTCTGTTCCCTCTCTTGACGTGTCTTTCTCTGTCAAATAAATAAATAAAATCTTTAAAAAAAAGAATGCTTCAAACTTCAGAATGAGAGTGCATCCTTTGCATGAAGTAGCCTGCAGCAGAAATTGGGCTCAGAAATATTCTGATTAATCCACAGGTGTTAGTGCTCCTCCTTCCCTAGCTCCAGAAATTTAGTTTCTCATTTGTTTTTCATAGAGTCTTTGTTAAGGAGCCTTGAAATTAGAATTTCTTGAAATTAGAATTTCAAGAAATATAAATGAAATAAAGATTTAAATAATCCAGTAATCTCGAGAAATAGACAAAGATATCTTTAAGAGGGAAGTTATCACGTAGATGTGGTCTGGACTCAGAGTCTGTTACCTTAAACTAGTAGTTTCCAAATGTGATCTTGGGATCCCTGGGAGGTCCTGGGGCCCTCTGGGTGTCAACAAGGTCAAAACTATTTACATCACAATGTTAAGATATTGTTGGCCTTTTTTTCCTCATTCTCACAAGTGGATTGTGGTGTTTACCAGAGGCCCCATGAAAAGTGATGACGCCATCACTAATACTCTTCTCTTAGAGCATTAATAGAATGTGTGCTTTTATATTGTGTTTTCCAGAATTTTCTAAGATAATGAGTAGGTTTAGAATCTAAGTATGTGCATTTTTATATTAACTCTGTTTGTTCTTAGTCCTGGTACTGTGTTTTTGTTTGCTGTTTCCTGTTATACCTGCCTTACTATAGAAGCAGATTTGTGAAAACCCAGCGGTCTCCTGTTGAGCTCAGTAACAAAGAAGTTTGCAAAAATGTAAAACAATACTATTCTTCGCATCAAGTCCTATTAGTTTGTTTTAGAAAACACAGCTTTTCGTTTAAGAAATGTTGTTCAGTGATTACAGAATGGGTTTACTGTTATTTTTATTTTTACATGAATTAAATTCTTCAATTTTAATTTCAAGCACTGCAGGTATAACATACACTTAAAAGAAAGCTCTTTAAGATCCTCAAAGTGGGAAGAGGAGCTGAGGCCACAATGTTAGAACTGCTAGAAACTTAGCAGTTTCTACTTTTCCCAGCTTCCCACATTCTCTGGGGTTCTCAGGGCTTGGGTTCAATGGGGATTTCTTGGTGGCTCAGTCTTTATTCTGGTCAGAATTGTCTGTGTATTCTTTGGGAACTCTCCTCGCCCCATTTGCTAAATTCTGTAGATTTTTATCAGAAAAGGCTTGCAATTTAAGATTTTTATTGCATTTTTTAAACTGTATTTAATTTATGTGGGTTTTTTTGACCACAATTTTTAAAATTTTTGGAGACTTTATTTGTGAAAATAATAGAAGAATGTCATTCATTTTGTAAATGGCATCTTTTGTGTATTCTTGGTTCCAATTTATTTCTTGGAAAGCTTCGAGGGATTTTTTTCCCCTCCTTGTTCTGTTGAGGTTGTGCGGTTTTTTTGTTTTGGTTTTTTTGTTGTTGTTGTTGTTAAGATTTTATTTATTTATTTGACAGACAGAGATCACAAGTAGGCAGAGAGGCAGGCAGAGAAAGAGAGAGAAGGAAGCAGGATTCCTGCTGAGCAGAGAGCCCGATGTGGGGCTGGATCCCAGGACCCTGAGATCATGACCTGAGCGGAAGGCAGAGGCTTTACCCACTGAGCTACCCAGGCGCCTCGAGGTTGTGTTTTTAAAGAATCCTTTTTAAAGTAGCTGAGCCTAAAGTTGACAAGTAGTTAAATATGCTGAATGCAGTAAATGGTGTTAAGTTACACAAACCTTGTTGCCTGTCGCTCTATCAACTGTAAGTATTTATTTGTCATAGTAAGTAAAAACAGTGAATTCAAATAACATGATAGCTTAATCTTGTTGATGATGTCTTTTTTCTTTTTTTTATAGTTAAGCAAAACTGGCTCTAAAGAAGACGAATAATTTTTGGAATTGAAGACAAGGGAAGAACATCCTTTAAGAAGGAAACTGGGTTCAAAATCCTTCATTATTACTCTTTTCTGGTATTGAGGTGGCTTTTTATAAAACAATTTTTTTGTATGTTTCTTATGTAAAAAAAAAAAAACGTTTTAAGCTGAAAGTTCATGAAAAGATCTGGTTGTATTATTTTCACAAACTTGCCTTAATAAAAGGTGAAATGTTACCATTTAGTATACTTTCTGAAGATGGTTGATCTTTGTAAATGGACAAAATGGGAAATAATAAATAATCAATGTGAATTTATATGATCTTACTCCAGTGGATGTGCTATTTTTTAAAGGAGTAGGAAGCCCTTTTGAAACTCTCATCCCAGTGGATCAGAATACTGAGTAAACAGTTGCTCTGTGGCGTGATCCATTTTAATGGACTTCTCGTCTTAATCAAGTCTTCATCCCTCCTTTCTCTTAATTACTGAAGCATAAATTGCTCCAGAGAAATTTAAATACTAATATTTGAACTTATTACATAATATTCTTTGTAGTTCCTTTTTATTTTTCAAGGGTGACCTGCTTCTTTCTTTTTAGTAAGTGAGTATCCGTTCATACTCCTCTCTTCCTTTGGGTCATGACGTTTGACCTTGAGAGTTTTCGGCCATATGCGGAATAGGGGAATATAAAATAAATCTGCCAAATACATTCAGAAGCATTTGCGTAGAAGCGCTGGTTCCCACCGAAAACATTTCTCTTTGCTGCATATACCAAGATGGGAGTAAAAGATGCCTTAATATTTAATTTTTGTATTGTTGGGAGACAGTGGTTTTAATAAATTCCTGTTTCTCTGCCACTGTGTGTTTTTGGTTCTCTCGCAACAGGTCTCCTAAATGGTTTAACATAAAACCACCTTTCAGGTCTTGTTTCTTTTCAAGTAGCCATGTGGATTTCTCAGGCTGAACATCTGTTTTCATAGTAATAAACGTAGAAGCGTTTCAAATGCTGAATCATAGTACAAGCTTGATTATACTTTTAATCACGAGTAGGGTAACTGTTAGTGACATGTAACCAAGAAGTCACTGATGTGTTGTGTGACTTACAGTGACTGCATTTGCTCCCTGGCTGGAGAACCCTGAGAACTGCTGCTGGTTCTAGAAGGGTAGACTGTTGGTTCCTGCAGTTACACCTGTGCAGCTCGGGTCTGACTTTTCAAAGAATAATGAACTTCTAAAGACATGTCCTTAGCATTAGAGCAGTTTAAATTGTATGCGTGGCTTTTACTGGGCTAATATTAGGCTCAGTTAAATGGTTGGAATTACACAGTAAATACAATTATGGTAAAGAAGTGTAATCTGGTTTTCAAAAGCTAAATCACATTTTATATCTTGAACTAATAGAAGCATTACAATTCAAGACCACCGGAATACGCCAACTTTCGTTTTTGGGGTTGTGTACGTGGTTTTTGTTGTGTTGATTTGTTTGCTTGTTTTTAAAGAAACTGAAACTACAGATCTGCTCGTGAAACAAATTGTGTTTTGCTCTGAAGATTGAAGTTGTTCAGGCTTACTGTGGTTCAAAGATGACAAAGAATAATGCTAGTTAAATGCCAATGAACTATTTTTACTCTTTTTTATATGAAATGTACAAATTTGGGGGGTGATGGTGGCAGCGGGGCCTCTGACCACCTTCTATAAAACACTGGAACATTCTCATCTGTTCTATCACCGTCTGTTCAACAGTCCCAGCATATTTTTTCCGAGTCTGTCTACCTAAAATTGTATGGAATGGCATAAATAATGAGCAATAAAACCAGAATTATATACAGTGGCTTCTCTGTGTTTTATTTCAAGTTGATAGAGAATTGTTGATTTTACAGATTTGCACAGACTTATGGTGTAAGGTGCACCCTCCTACTAGAAACTGTTCAAAATGTTGGATTGAGAAAGAATTGTTTCATGAGTTGACAAGAAGCTAAGGGATACCCAGTCTTAAAAAATTTTTTTTTGAATATTTTTTTGGATTGATTTATTTGAGAGAGAGCGTGAGCACAGGCTTGGGGAAGCAGAGGGAGAAGCAGGCTCCCCACCGAGCAGGGAGCCCCATGTGGGACTCCATCCTAAGACCCTGGGATCAGGACCTGAGCCGAAGGCAGACGCTCAACTGACCGAGCCACCCAGGCGTGGCTTTATTTAAAAAGCCTTTATTTAAAACCCACCTTTATTTAAAAAGAATAAATTTAGAAATCATGCTACATAATAACAGATTTGTTTTGTCATTGGTTAGTACGCAGAATAAAAACATAACGAGGTATTATCTGGTAGGGGTTATCTGGTAATCTGGGATTCTAAATTCAGTGTTTCCAATTATGTGACAAAATAATAAGGAATTGGTCAATGATCTGAAGATGTTTTGTGTGTGGGATCCATTAGTGAAGAAACTCACTGAGGGTCTTTTTTTTTTTCTAAGATTTTATTTATTTGACCGAGGGAGAGAGAGAGGGGGAACACAAGCTAGAGGGAGTGGGAGAGGGAGAAGCAGGCTTCACGCCAAGCAGGGAACCTGATGTGGGGGCTCGTTCCCAGGACCCTGCGATCATGACCTGAGCCGAAGCCAGATGCTTCACGACTGAGCCACCCAGGTACCCCTCACTGAGGGTCTTTAACAGAAATTTTCCTGATGGAATGGAAGAGAACAAAATTCAACAGAAAATACCAGTGCATATCACATGTCGTAAGGGTCTTTGCGTGCATGTGACCATTGTTTTTGGTTTGGGGTATGTATGTGCAGTACTGTATAAAATTTATTTCTTAAAGATACTCATGGTGAAAAAGTATGAAAAGCACTGATCAGAGCATATGCCTTCGGCTCAGGTCATGATCCCGGCGTCCTGGGATCAAGCCCCACATGGGGCTCCCTGCTCCGGGGGGGAATCTACTGTCTCCCTCTCACTCTCCCTCTGTGTTCTCCCACTCTCTCTCTTTCTCTCTCTCAAATAAATAAAATGTTTTAAAAATTTTTTAGGAAATTTTTAATAATTTTTTAAAACTTTGCATCCAGTGACACATAATGTGACATTCTTTTCAAGCGTACAGCGTGGCGATCATCGTGTGCGCTGTGCGGGCTTTACTGTCCACATGACAGCCTCGGTAACAACTACAACAGCTTTAACTTCTGACCGATAGAACCAATCATAAGAAAATACATCCTATTCTCCCATTCCTCGAGAAAGAATCATTTTCTTCCTGGGCTTCCCATATAAATCTAGTCTCTAAAATAAATTGTTGTCAGCAGCTGATGGGGGTGAGAAAACAGGAAATGCCCCCCCTCGTCTGTTCCTCCCCATTTGTGGCTGCGGGCTCCTGGGAAGTTGGACGTACTCTCACGGGTCTCCCTGCGGCCTTCTGGAGCATTCCTTTTCCATGGCCCCCACAAAGCTTTGACCTGTTGGGACACTATTTTTGGTATTTTAGGCAATAAGCCATCTCCGTGTCCCATTTTGCCCTTTCCTTAACAAAGGAGATTATAATTTAGAAAAGGAAACTTCACACAGGGGGAAAAACACACATGAAAATATTTCTTGCTTCACAGTTGAGGGGCTGGAAATGAACCTTGAACATTGTCCCATGATGACAGTTTTTCAAGCACAGAATGGTGAGAAGAAAGGTTTGCATTTAATGCCTGAAATTGCAGAAAGATCGGTCGGTCTGACCATGCAGATTTCCAAGGGGAGACTGTTCTTCTCCCAAGGGCAGTGCTCTTCTGAGTCACCTGAGGACCCACCTTCTTTGTAAAGGCACATCTTCAGGCTTGGACTCGGGGTCCTGCAGCATGTGAATCCCGCTGAGGTTTCAGTGGAAGCGAACACTTCATAAATTCCTACATTCGTTTCACGATGTGTTTTCTGTTCTTAAAAATCACACTTGGAGCGCCCGGGTGGTTCAGCGGTTATTAAGCATCTACCTTCTGCTCAGGTCTTGATCCCAGGGTCCTGGGATCAAGTCCTGCATCCAGCTGTCTGCTGGGCGGGGAGCCTGCTTCTCCCTCTCCCTCTGCTGTTCCTTCTGCTTCTCTCTCGATCACAATCTCTCTCTCTCAAAAAAGTAAATAAAATCTTAAAAAAAAAAATCACACTTGTTTCCAATTCTACCTAATAATGATTTTTTTAAACATGAAAGTGCAAGAAACGAAATGCTGTTGAAACCTTTCTCTCCTTTCTCATCTCTGTGTCTCCGAAGATCACAAAATCTAGACTTTGTCAGTTTGCTGTTTCACTGGCTGAATGTTGAATACACAGAACTAAATATTCCTTACCTTCCAGGCGCTGCTCAAAGATAAAAATTTAAATCGATGGGTGTTATTTAGAATCATGATAACTGAGAAATCACGGAGTTTCGTTATAAGAATGTCCATCCATCTGCTAAAAGAAAAGCATAACTCCCACTACATGCTGACAAAAGCCATCTGTTAAGATTTTCCCTTAGTTTCTATGTTTTTCCTTTGGATGTCAGTGGTTTAAAATTCTTGATTAATTTTTCATTTTTATCAAAGTCGCACATATACTTTGAGAAGTCAGATAGTTCCACAAGGCTTTCAATGTAAAAGGTAATCCTCCCTTACCACACCCCTGCTATCCCAATTCCCACTCCGTGTAAGTAACTGCTTTCAACAATTTTTAGCTCACACTGGCCCATGGGACCCGGGTCTGTGGTCTCCTGCTGCCTGTAACTGCAGCTCCAAGACTGGCCGCCATGTTCCTTGCCTTGGAGGCTCTCCTCTGGCTCTTGCCTCTTCCTGGGACTCTCCCCTCAAACAGTCACATGGTCAGCTCATTCACCTTCAGATCTGTGCTCCAAGTCTGTTTTTCGGCTTTGAGCAAAGTAGGAAGCCTCTAGAAGTCCCCGCCTCCCCACCTGCCCCAGCTTTATTGAGATATAATTGGCCCACAACATGGTGCAAGTTTTAAGGCACAATACGATGATCTGAGACACTTATCTATTGCAAAATGATTACCTCATATGGTCACTTAACACCTCCACCAATGCACATCATTATGTGTGTGTGTGTTTGGTGAGAACATTTAGGATCTACTCACTCGGTAACTTTCAAGTACTCCATGCGGTATTGTTAACCATAGTTAACCAGGCTGTACCTCAGACCCTCAGAACCTGCTCATCTTATAGCCGGAAGTTTGTACCCTTTGGCCAACACCCTGCATCCCCTCAAACCCCACCCCCAGGCCCCAGCAACCACCAATCTATTTCCTGTTTCTGTGAGGTCAGCTTTCTCAGATTCTGTGTACAAGTGAGATCATACAGTACTTGCTTTTTCTTTTTCTGACTTTCCTCACTTAGCATAATGCCCTCCGGGTCAATCCATGTTGTTCCAAATGGCAGGATTTCCTTTTTTGTGGCTGAATAGTATTCCATTGGGCAAAGGGTTTGGAACAGAGGAGTGGGGTGATCTGACTTATGTTCGAATGGTTTGTTCTAGCTTCTGGGTTGAGAATAGACTGAAGCAAGAGGAAAGGCAGGGAGACCAGTTTGGAAATTATCACAGAAATGTGGGTGGAAAATGGTGGTGGCATGAATGGGGGGGCAGGT